TCTCCTTTGGAACTTTAATAAATGTGTTGGAAATTTGGTTTGGAATTTCAGTGCCACTAAAATGTTTTAAAGTATACCTTGGAAGCAAGGAAAAGGTAAGATTTAAAACACTTCTTTTGGGCTGGGACGATAGCTCAGTAGAATAAACACTTGCCTGGCAAGTGCAAAATCTTGAGTTCAATCCCCGATACTGAAAAAAAAAACACCAAAACAAAACACTTCTTTTGAGCATTGAGTGATGCCTGAAATAATCTTACTCTGTACACATTATTCATGGGATACAAAAAGTACAGGGAATAACCATTTTAGAATTAAAGATATTAAAAAATAGACTAACACTTTCAAAAATACTATTGAATACATTTCTTTCATTATAGATAATTTGTATTTTCTTTTATCTGAAGTGGGTAAAATTAAAAAGCCTGAAACCAACCAACTTGGAAAAGTAATAGTGTTATACAGTGGGAACAGAAAGCCAAGATGTAGACTAAGAAATGTGGCCATTCACCATGCAGGCTTGAATTTGACCTATTCCATACATAGGGAAAAGGAACAGGACAACAAAAAGACTAAATGAAGACCTTGGAAGTGGAACACATAATGATGACGTCACAGGGGAACGTCATAAAAGATAAAACATGAAGGAGAGTACCATGGGGTGGTTAAGAGGAAGAGGGCAAGGGAGGAAAATATTTGAAAATTATTGACACTTTCTAAGACAAATTCCTGGGCAAATTATAAGAGAGAACTTTTCTACACTATAGAATTTGGGTAGTAATAGTAAATCTTACTATAATTCCTTTGGCATTTATCAAAAGGGATAAACATTGAACAGCAGTGGTTGATATTCTAAGTAGACATCAATCACTTTGGGGTGGAGGACCAAACCATAATCCACCTCTCCCAGAAAAGTCCTTGTCCAACTCATATGCACTTGCTATGTGACTTGTTTCTCCATTTGATCCCCATTTAATCAATATTACCCGAGTGATTACACTTGTAATCTTATTGGTTGACCATAGTTTTGTCCCACCTTACACCTATTCTATGATTTGCCATTGGATCAGTATTGCCTAAGTGACTATACTTGTAACATTATTGATTGGTTATAGTTCTGTCCCACCTTAAGCTGGCCTCACCTCATGGCTTTGGACAATTAAACACCCTTGAGAAACAGGGCTAGTGGGCAACACACTTTCTGGATCCCCTTCTGTTCCTCTCAGACAGAAGCATTCTCTCAATAAATTATTCCTACTCCTAAAAAAATGAAAGGATCAATGTCAACATTATTGGTTGCCCAACTATGTGCCATCTGTTAGGTGGCCACTAGCCACATGTGACTATTGAGCACATGAAATATGGTTACTCCTTGTTGAATGGGTTGTAAGTATGAAATACATAGTAGATTTCCAACACTGAGAACAAGAACAAAAATAATGAAATATATGTGGTTGATAATTTTATATTGTCCAATAATTTAAATGATGGATATATTAAATCAAATAAAAGACATCCTTAAATTATTTTCACTAGTTCCTTTTAGTTTTTAATACGGTTACTGAAAAATTAAAAACTATATTTGTGACTTGCATTATATTTCTATTGAACAGAGCTGATCTAGTCCCTTCCCATGTGACATCCCATGTCTTGCTCAGATTCAACATTCTATACTGTTTGGTGATAACATCCATTTAAATTTCTTTATGTTTCATTCTCATTGTTGCTTCTTTTATTTTTTAACAGTTTAAATGCCCAGTTCACACAAACTAGATTCCTTTTCAGATTCATCAACCTTTTTTTTTTAATGGTCATTCAGTATTTATTCTGCACTGCAAAGGTGACAAACTAAAATATAAAAAGGCCATTATGGCTTAACATTTTTGTTGCAGATTAAATATGCAGCATTGAAAAATAGAAAGGCATGGCTTCATCTCTGACCAGCAGAGTTAAAAAGAAAAATCTCTCCATTTTCCTTCATCATCATGGGATACACTGTTCAGACAATCCAAATCAATAAAGACTTGCAAAAAAAAAAGACTTGCACTTTCATATGGACACAGGCTTAAAGTTGGTTTGAATCCTTTTCATTTCAATTGTTTGGCTTTTCTGTTATTTTTCTCTATTTATCATGTATTCCTGAGAATAAATCCTTGTTAAGGTAATGCTTTACTTTTCCTTTCATGTGCATTTTCTTATATACTATGAATGTGAAAACTTAACTGGTACACTTGATCCAGATTCCTCAACCTTTTGGCTATAGTTTTATTCAAAACTTTTTCAATCTAAACAATATTTGGTGAGTATTCTACATTCCTAAAAGTTTTAATTAAAAAATTTATTGATATAATAAACTGTACACATCTATGGGGTACAGTGTAATAACTGAATACTTGTATATAGTTTTCTTTTTCAATACTAGGGATTGAACTCGGGACCTTGCACTTGCCAGGCAAGTGCTTATTCTACTGAGCAATCTCCCCGACCTCTGTATTTAGTGTTTGATGAACATTCAAGAAGGTTGGCTGCAAAATATAGTTAAGTATTCTACAGCACAGTAGGATGGCTAAAATTCACAAGAATTTATTACATATTTTATGAAGATTTAAGAGGGAGGACTTCAGATTTTTTTATTTATTTATTTATTTTACAGTGCTGTGGATCAAACCTAGGGCTCATGCCTGTTAGTCACATGCCCTGCTATGGAGCTACTTTCTAAGCCCTTAAAGTTTTAATTTTAATAAACTACTGTTTCTGCATATCCAAGAGTATACATTCTGGTATAATGATTCTTCATTTACCCTTTGTCTCTCCTTTGTCCAGGAAATAGCAATCTGACCAAGATGAATGCTTTTGGGAACTGAGGCTTAATTCACAGCTTTTTTTTTTTTTGGTGTCAGAAATAGAACTCATGACCTTGCACTTGCCGGGCAGGTGCCATACCACTGAGCTGTCTCCCCAGCTCTTAATTCACAACGTTTTAAAATGAATTTTTCAGAGAAATTTCTATAAAGTTTTTATTTTTTTAATGCAATAACCTTCTGGACATGGTGGCACATGCACCTATAGTCCCAGTACTTGCTAAGCTGAGGCAAGAGGATTGCCATGAGTTCAAGGCAAGCTTGAGTTAATAGTGAGTTCAAGGTTAGCCTGAGCTATGTAGCATGATTCTGTCTCAAAAACAAAACAAAACAAAACAAAACAAAACAAAAACAAAAAAAACCCTTTGAGCCAAAAAAAGAGAACTATATAGAGAATTGATTCCATGAGATTCTATGCACCAAGCCCATGTTCACTGAAGATGCTATAGAACACGGACCTAGACCCAGCTAGTGCTTACACCCAGGTATCCATGAAAGTTGGAGAATTACTCTAAATGGGTGGTGGAGAATTCTGGAAGTTGAAGATGCAAGGAACATGGGCCACTTGCCAAGAAAAACTGCATGAACTGGATGGAGACATCTTGAGAAAGATGCTATATAGTCTGTGACTGGGAAAGACATGGAAGTGGGACTATTGAATCCCTTTATAACTCTCATCTCACCACTATATATCTCTGATATAAGACTTGGTGCTATAAGACTTAATGTTTTCGCTGCTGGGTTTTGGTCTTTGTTTGAAAGTATTCTTTCTATTTATACTCCTATACCTACACATTGGAATGGGAATATTTTCTCTGTGCCACTGTACTTTGGGATAAGGTGACTCTTTTAATATTATTGGAATTCCCAGAGAGTTGCCTGGAGTGCCAGAGAAGACTTTGAGCATGAACTCTTGAGAGATACTGAGACTTACAAGTCTTTGGAGGAAAGAATTATTGTGTTTTTTGCATACATTCAACTGTTGAATCGTATTAATTGGAATTACTTTTTTTTACATTACACATTTTACATTTAAAATGTGTTTTGGTCTTAACAGGAAATGTCAGGTGATAGTTAATCTAATTTCCTTCTTGATTTGCTTGATTACAGTATGTGTGGATGGGTGATTTAAGTGTGATTTTAGGGGCCACATAAGATGCTTTACTATTCATTTTCTGTGATGTCCCTTGGTTGAGTTTCCTGCTTCCAGCAGCTAAAAAGCTCATTCACCAGGATGGTTAGCCATTAAGCTTTTGCTTTGGAGTAGGGTGAAAATAGATTGAGTCTTCTTGCATAATGAGCCAAATAAAACTGTCCTTCAAATGACAGGACCTGGATATGTTTTTTCCCTATAATGAAAAACTGATTAATACATTTCTCTTGTAAATATCTGCTTTCATATTATGTTAAGAAAATATTTTGGGCCAGGGAGATAGCTCAGTAGAATAAGCACTTGCCTGGCAAGCACAAGGGCCTGAGTTCAATCCCTGGTTCCACCAAAAGAAGAAGAAGAAGAAGAAGAAGAAGAAGAAGAAGAAGAAATATATATATATATATATATATATATATATATATATAATGATTTTAGACTTATTACATAAGATTTGTTTGTGGCCTGACATATGATTTAACTAGAAAAATAATTTTCAAGTACTTGAGAAGACTATATATTCTGTTAAGATGTTTTTGGTTTAACGTGTAGTTTAGTCTAATTTTTTAAATTTTTCTTTTAATAATCTAATCATTGTTTAAAATAAAGTATTGAAATTCAAAAATAAAAAAAACAGAAAAGTAATTGAATTTGTTAAGCCTTTCCAGATGGTAGTTGATTTTAACCTCAGCTTATAGGGGTCTTGGGGGTGTGGGATCCCTTGGGTGGAAGATTCTTAAAGATGGGAAGAGGCAGCTCTGAGTTTCCTGTTTCTCACACTGGCCTTCCATGGGTGGTTTTATTAGAATTCCTCTGCCAGAAATAATTTGGAGACTACTGGCTTTGGCTTTTCATGTGTGCTGAGCAGTAAGTGACGGTTTCCTGCTGTCATTTCCCTAAACTTTCTCATTGTCACAATGCTTGTGCCTTGTGCTTTTCCTCATTATTTGATACTTTTAATCTATTGTGGCTTAAAGACGTCTAATAACAGAAGCCTTGCGCAGTGGCAGTGTCATAGCCAATGAGTTTTACCTGAGGTGCTACTGCTAATTCAAAACTTTTTCCAATACCCCACCATAATGACTTGAAATATAGTTGGCATTGATAATTTTTGACAGTACATAGACTTAAAAAAAGTTAGAAATGCACATAAAGTGAGAAATAGTGCTGGCTGATTGAAACGCAGAAGCTTTGTTGTGGCTTCCAGAAGGCTTTTAATATATATATAATGCTCCTCCCAATTCAGTTACCTGTATAATAATGAAGGGAAGTACTTCATCCCTTCACAGTTTGACCTGGTGATAATCCACACATAATTCTGTAAGAGATGTGTGTATGAAAGTACATGTAATAGAATTTTATGTGCTGTGCTATGAAGACATTTGTATAGGCTGTGTGTCAATATATCTTTGAAGGTAAAGTGGTATTTGATTATATTTCTAGTAGTATAGGGTAGCTGCTGGAGTTTCTTTTACTTACAACTTTCCATTTCTGAAGAGAAAGTATATTTTAAAATTTCTTTTAAAAAATCATTTATTTATTTATTTGTTTATTTGGTACAGGGTCTTGCTACTCAGCTCAGACTCATAGTGATCCTCCTGTCTCAGCTTCCCCAGCACTGGGATGACAGGCGTGCACCACCATGCCTGGTGTTGGTGGCCAGCTCATCGCAGGGCCAGCATGCCATGCAGTACAGGGGATCAAACCTGGGTCCTTGTGCTTGCCAGGCAGGCACTTAGACCATTGAGGTATCTTCCTGGCCCTGCATATTTTAAAATTTCTATAAAAAATTATAGCTATTTGTATGTCTTAAGTGAGAATTTAATTATATATGCAGAGAAACATGGGTACATAGTAGGACTGCTTCTGACCATAGAATATATGGCCCAAATCTGAAACTATACAGGACAATGACTATTTTTTAGTACTAGGTAGATAGATGGAGGTTTGGCATAGAGTTAAATGTTCAGGAAAAAAAACCACTCAGAGAATGTGTGACAGGGTATGGATTTGGACTGATCTTTCTATATGTACTCTTCAAACTTGTTTTAAACCTTTTGTCTGTTTGCAGGTCGAATCAGAGGTACTACATGTTTGCCTTCTTTTTTCTTAGTCTTTATAATACTTCTGATTAGCTGTTCAGAATTATATTTTGCTGTGCTCTTTTCATTTATACACTCAGGTAAAGACATAAGCTAAAGCATCTAAAACATTTTGTACTTCCATTTTTTTGAATTAGAAGTCTCTGTGTAGAAGGGAATTGGATAAATGTTAACTGCATAATTTCTACAATTCGGTATTAGTTTTATACTGTGTTTTCTTAATGATATATTATGATTTTGATGCAGCTATCAAGTTAATGCTACTTTTTAAAAAAAATTAGTACAGGGTCTACAAGGTCTCACTGCACAGATTGGAGTAGTAGTGATTCTCCTGTTTTCAGCCTCCCAAGCATTCCCCCAGGACAGAGCCCGCACGGCACGCCAGGGACCCTGGTCTCTGCGTCTGCCTTAGCAGGCTCTTTAATCCGTTGAGCTTTTTGGCTAGCCTATGCCACTTTGATGAGAAACTTAAATGAAGTAATTTATTTTTGGCTGGTTATTATAATTGTTGTTGTTTTTAAAAATTTTTATTTACTTATTTTTTTAAATTGAGAAATAAATATGAATGAGACAGTTTCAAAGCTGATTAATAGAACAGTTTCGATAATCAATACATTGTACATTGTTATCCATAGTACAAGAAGCAGACATGATTTCCTCTCCAAACACTATTCGTAAACCTCTTTCTTCTCATTGAATTAAGCAAAAGTAGCTGTATATTTATCCTAACTATTTTGTATATATAAATACAAAATGATCTTTCCTTTGTATCCCTTTATTTTTGTCCTGTCAGAAGTGGATATTCTATTGGCATCTAAATACTATAGGTGCTTGAATTCAGCTAAGCAATCTAACACTGTCTAGCAGTCTATAATATTAGTGGGTTATCCTCAGAAGTTGTTGACTTGAACCTTTTACAGCTCATCGTATTAATATGGATTTACTTTACGTACCTCATTTTTATACTTTTCTGCTGGATGGTTAAGACCAAGATAAATCAAGACCTATATGACAAGAAATGTAGCTTTTGTATCTGATAAGGTTAGTCAAGTACTCTGAGGATTTATCCTGTAGCCCTGTACCGCACTTTGTAGATCCTTTGTCAGTGTCAGCCATGAGGATGAGTCATAGCCATTGCTTGACCAATTTGCTCTCTGTGAAAGCCTGAGAAAATGTTTTTCTCTCCATGTGACTCTCCCCAGGCACACTATACATCATCGATCACATTCCTCTGTGGCTCCATAATCTTCTTGATCAGAAAATTTGGAGCACAACTGAGTTACAAGTTATTATAGTACAGGTTCTCCTATGTCCCGAGTCTTCACTGACCTTGAAAGGCTAGGGCGAAAATGTTGGCTGACCTTGCAGCCCTTCCTTTTCTCCATTTTTTTTTTTCTGAACTGGGGATTGAACTCAGGCCCTTGCGCTTGCCAGGGAAGCACTTATTCCACTGAGCCATCTTCCTGGCCCCCTTTTCTTCAATTTTGATCTGCTAACTTAGGTTGTTAATGCTCCAGAAGAGAAGCTTATTATTAATCTGCAATATATGCAGTTCAGATTACCCTGTCTGTCTAAATATTAAACATCTTTGGCATATCATGGAACAGGTATTTTTCATCAAATATTGATATGTTGAACTTTAAGTTCTTACAGAATATGAAAGAAAAATAATTTTATAAAAGTGGAAATAAACATTCACATATTTTTACAAAGAAATTTATAAATATAACCATATACAGAATTGTAACAGGACAGACCTGTGACTTTTTTTTCTTATTCTTGTGACTTTTTTTTTCAATTTATTACCCTTTAAAAGAAAAACCTTTACTTGAGAGACATTATGGCAATAAATGGTATGTCATTGACAAGAAGTACATATTTAGAAGACCAGGATGGCAAGCACTCCAAGCGTGACCCCTCTATTACACATCCCCATTCTCAGTGCAGCCGCCTGGCTCATGAGCAACAGCACATACAGTTAGTCAGGGTGAGGGTCTCACCAGCCAACCGCTAGTCTCACAAACTTGCTTATGTACCCCAGGATCACTGCCCCAGCCACCTCATGTGTACAAATGTGTAGCTTTGCCCCTGTCACATTTCCCAGCTTTTCTCCTTGCCCACTCTTCATTGTCCAATTCTCAAGTTCTCGCTTTCCTTTTATTTGTGTTGTAATTTTCCATATGTAATTCCTCTCTTAAGTTCTTATACTAGGGAGATAATTTGATATTTACAGATGTGAGTCTGGTTTATTTCACTTATAAGAATATGTTTAAGTGGCATCCACGTAAATATGAAGGCTTTGAGTTTATTATTCTTTATAGCTGAGTAATACTCCATTACATAAAAGTACCACATAGTTGTTGTATAATATTCAGTCAACATACAAAACTATAGGGTCTGATTTTACCTTTAGCCACATGAACTTTCTTGTTCAGTGTTTACTTTTGTTTTTTCAGTGTTTACTTTTTAACAACTAAAATTTTCTTTGCAGCTTTGTCGGAAATTTTATTTTGTAGGACTGAGATTTCTGGTCTAGGCCTTTCCTCTTCCTTCCATTTATTCCCATAAAAAGTTCTTTTGCTCCCCCACATTTTTCCTCCATGACATCATTTCTGATGACCGAAGCAGTGGTGCAGTACATTGTTCTTCTAGTTCTCAAATTAATTTCATTTTGGTAGCTGAATATGACTCTTTAAAGATGACAGTGAAAGGCTGAGAGAATGATTCTGATATAGAGGTTGTTCAGGAGCATTTCCTTTTGAGCTGCACATATAAGGGTAAAATACATAATTATGTATACACTATATTTAGCTGCTTGTGAATTCTGCAGTGAATTTTGTCAAAGAAAGTCTGCAACAATCACTGGTGAACCATATATCAATATGCATTTAATGGGCATGTTTCTGTTTCCTGGAAAATATTTTTGGGGCCCTGAATATTGGTAAGTCACTAGATGGATTCATGGGACCAAGTGCACAATGAGCACTTGGCTAGGGCATATCACAGAGAAAGGGAGGAAGAACAAGGTCACCAAGAGAAAAAGACAGAGTTGGAGCCTGAAGAAATCGAGGCAATCTTCCCATGCTGTCTCCTACCTACAAGTAAGTATATGGAGTGTGCTCTTTGCTCCAGCAGTGAAAAAATACAGTAGCGGATGTGTAATGTTTCTATCCACTTGAGATTCAACATCCAAAGTTTGTAGTGGGAGCTGGTCATACCAGCACCCTCTGCCTAACAAGAACAACAATTTCATATTCTTAAAAGGAGAGCAAGTGTTCACCGTAAATCACATTGTACAGTATAGATATAGCAAACCAATCTTGTTTAGCAGTCAGGGGATGATTAGATACCAAATTCCTAATGCAAGGAATGCAAGCCAAAGGCCCATATTGTAAGTGGTTCCTACTACAGATAGTGGTCTTCCACCTGCTATGTGAATTCTTCTGCAGTGTCTATCTCTGGAATGCTACAATGTCTTTACAGTAACCATATCCTTTGTAGGAGTCCATGGGTCATAGTTCACCCTTATATCTGTAGCTCTGAAGGAAAATGTCCCAAGAAACATGTATATCGGCATCATTCCCACAACGCTTTGTCGAATAGTGACCTCAGCTGTGTTCTCCATGGGTCTTGAATCTACCCAGTGAAAGCAAATTCTATTAACCACATGATCTATCTTAACTTCCTTTATTAATCTTTTAAAAAAATGCTGGCATCAGTAGGCACAGCACACTTTAGCCAGTGTGTTGGAGCTGAACTGAATGCTTCCCAGGGCTGTGGCAGTGTTATGATCGTGTGCACATATTAGAGGTCTGTTCTCAGAGGGCACATGTGGTATGCCTGGAAATAAAGACTTTACTTTTGTCAGGGTACATCAAGCATCACACACATTTTCTGTTTTATTAAATTTCTGAGACTCTTCCTTTTTATTTTTAGTCCATCATTATGTGGAGTTTATCTTTTACTCTTTGTCATTGCCATGATTGTTAATTCATTGATAGAATTTTCCCTGAAAAGTCATTTGTTCT